ATGGATGTGGCACAGATGTTAGATGTACTTTTTTATTTAGAGTTGTCATTCTGTATATCTCTCAGTAAATGTTTTCTAGTGTGACATGCCTGCCATACTGGTGAATTTATATAATTGCTTATTTCATCATGTAATTGGTTAAATATTATCTCTTTTTAAATATTAGCAGTAGATGAAGAAAAACATTATGCAAAAAAAGTTATTTTTTAAAAATAGCATTCTTTTTATCAAAAGTCCTGAAAAAATTATCATGGTTTCCATAAAAATATTAAGCAGCACAGCTGTTTTCAACACTGACAGTATTACATTTACATTTAGTCATTTAGCAGACGCTTTTATCCAAAGCGACTTACAAATGAGGACAATAAAAGCAGTCAAAACTAACAAAAGAGCAACAATATATAAGTGCAAATGGCAAGTCTCGGTTAGCCTAACGCAGTACACGTAGCAAGGTGTATATATATATATTATACACACACATAAACACACACACATACACACACACACACACACTCTCACACACACACACACACTCTCACACACACACACACACTCTCACACACACACACACACTCTCACACACACACACACACTCTCACACACACACACACACTCTCACACACACACACACACTCTCACACACACACACACACTCTCACACACACACACACACTCTCACACACACACACACACTCTCACACACACACACACACTCTCACACACACACACACACTCTCACACACACACACACACTCTCACACACACACACACACTCTCACACACACACACACACTCTCACACACACACACACACTCTCACACACACACACACACTCTCACACACACACACACACTCTCACACACACACACACACTCTCACACACACACACACACTCTCACACACACACACACACTCTCACACACACACACACACTCTCACACACACACACACACTCTCACACACACACACACACTCTCACACACACACACACACTCTCACACACACACACACACTCTCACACACACACACACACTCTCACACACACACACACACTCTCACACACACACACACACTCTCACACACACACACACACTCTCACACACACACACACACTCTCACACACACACACACACTCTCACACACACACACACACTCTCACACACACACACACACTCTCACACACACACACACACTCTCACACACACACACACACTCTCACACACACACACACACTCTCACACACACACACACACTCTCACACACACACACACACTCTCACACACACACACACACTCTCACACACACACACACACTCTCACACACACACACACACTCTCACACACACACACACACTCTCACACACACACACACACTCTCACACACACACACACACTCTCACACACACACACACACTCTCACACACACACACACACAAAGAAAAACAAGTAGATAGAATAGAAAAAATAGAATAGAAAAATATAAATAATTATTTTATTTTTTAAATTAAAAAAAATAAGATAAATGTAGATAAAGTAGAATTAAAATAGAATAGAAAGTGCTAGAGTTAGAGTATCACAAAATATAAGCACAAAATCAGCATATAAGGATGATTTCTGGAAGATCGTGTGACACTGAAGACTGGTGTATCTGTGTGGAGAAGAGTAAAATATATATTTAAAATATATTTGTGACGAGTGGGGGCAGGGCCGAGAGCCGTGGGAACGGAGTGAGGCCGGTGGAGTATTTTATTTTGTGTTTTGTGTGCGGCAGTCGTCCGCGAGGGGCTGCCGCTTTACTTTCATTTTGTGTTTGTTTATTATTAAAGTCTTAAATGTTCGCCAGTTCCCGCCTCCTTCTTCCCGTGACTATGAACTTTGTTACAATATTCAAATAGAACACGTTTTTTTTCTTTTCTATTGTAAAGATAGAGTCTTCTCTCAAAAACATTAAAAAACTTTCTGACCCCAAACTTTAACTTGTATGTATTTTTCAGTAAAAACACTATTGAACGGCAAGGATGTACAAAATGTAATAATAAAAAAAAAAACTTAGAAACCCATTTTGGTTGACCACTATTCTGAATATTAGCTGAAAATTCCACTCAAAAACTCTGCTGACTGTAGATGAAGGTTTTTTTTTTTTAACTAGCAGATCCACTATACAGATTACTTCCCTTGTCTTAGGCTGTAATTACTACAGCACATGTTTAAAGCAACATCCAAGAATAAAACACACAATTAGACATTTCAATGCCTGTCAAACTGTAATGATCATTTAACTGTATTCACATGCATTGTGACCTTGGCCCTTGTCAGCAGAAGATCTTCATTTCAATATGCTAAGTGTTCAGAAGAGAATGGCTGAGCTGTGCAATTAAGACATTATTCTTCATTTCTATTGCTCTGATTTGCACTTGTTTTCAGTTTGCAACTGTATATTATTTGTGGATACTGCCTAACCATCATTCTGGAGGTGTTGATGAATGCAAAATGTTTTTTCACTCTTCCATATCTTGAGAATCTTTTAAATTCATTGAGCTAAAAAAAATTTAATTTTCACAGGCGATGTATAATGTGCATAGTGTGGAATCAATATTTCCAAGTCTTTGCTGTCAGCTGGTGGTAATTTTATTAGGACTTTGTCCAGCCTGTGATGAAATGGAGAACAGACGTCTCTAAATTTCAGTTCGCTCTCAAAATGTAATGTCTTTACCATTCACAGTTAACAAAGAACTCAACCTCATGATCAGGGCATATTAACCATGAAACACTAGCTTTGGAAACCATGAAACCCATGTGAAAATGGTGTATCATTTCAGCAGTGAGACACTTCCATGCTGATGTGAATGGGAATTAGTTATCACAGGCCTCCAGGGTATAATCACAGCGCATTGTTTCAGAGTGGCTTACCCAAAGCTCCTTTTTGTTTGTCAGGAGAATGACTTCAGAGTTCAGAGCACTGCGGAGGACAGCGTGAGGAAAGAGTCATCTGCACTCAACTACTGGCAATCAAAGCAGAACTTGCCACACAAGCAGAGATTATTTATGCTGCTTGTTTTGCTTTCAAAACAGATGATGCATGTTCTGATGCACATTATCAACATTATATACAGTATGTATCCAAAATTGTGCTATATGCTTCTTTAAAAATAAAGGTGCTTTATTGGCATTGATGGTTCCCTGAAAAACCTTTATCATCCGTGAAACCTTTCAGTTGCACAAAAGGTTATAAAAAAAGGGGGTTTTCAAAGCAATGCCATAAAGGAACCATTTTGGTTCCACAAAGACCTTGACAGGCAATCTGACCAATCATAAGCTGAATCTGCCATTTTTGTCCAACAAACAAACCAGACAGGAGAGTATAGATTAATGTTGGTGGACTTGAACTTGAACGCGTCTTTCCACGGATGAAACAAGATACCTTCTGATGTTCATTCATGTTTATTTCGTGCTATAACTAGTAAACAGAAAGAGATGATCGGTTCACGTGCCACTTGAACTGAGACGCTACAGCGATCTGTCACGACACATTAAAGAGCCACAAAACTGGCAGGTCTTTGCGAAGGATCAGTTACAAGGTATCTTTTAACTAAAAGGCTGAATTATTTTCGGAGGGCAATAATATTTTTCACGAGTTATCACCTCAAGTTATCACAGTTGATTTCTGTTTCATCTGTCCTATCTACATATTACTTCTCTGATGTCCGGTGTTCTCATTATTTCCTGTATTATTGTTTGATGTTATCCTCTGTATTACTGTTGGATGTTATCTTCCCAGTAGTTATCTTGTTATCTGGAAAGACGCTATATAAATAAAACGTATTATTATTATTATTGTTATTATTATTATTGTTATTATTATTATCTTTAAAATTACGGTATACTGTTTATTAAAATATAACACATTCTGCAGTTACAACAATTATTTTTGTTTTAAATTTTTTTTAATTTTTAATTCTTGCTGAAAAGTGAAATGGCAGGTTACCTTGTGACAACCTACCCCATATACCCCGGTTTCACAGACAAGGTTTAAGCCTAGTCCCAGACTAAAATGTAATTCTGAGCTGTTTCTGAAAGAAACTTGCACTGACTGGTCTTAAAATATATCAGTGCCTTTGTTTTGTCTCAAGATGCACACCAGTAATGTTTTTTCTACGGCATGTTTATAAAAATTACTTAAATGTCCTAACTGAGCTATGGCCTAATCCTGGTTTAGTCTAAACCCTGTCTGTGAAACCAGGCCATAGTGTGACAACATGCTGTGCATACATATACAAAAGGTTTCTGCTAGTTCTTTTCGCTAAATACCTAAATGTAAATATGGGCTTAATAAGCCTTTATTTATTTATTTATTTATTTATCTATTTTTGAAGGCAGAAGTTAAGCAAAACAATATTAAGCTGCTGTAGAATGTGTTATTATTCATTAACTTTTTACTGTTTGTATGTCACTTTTTATGTAAATGTCTATTTTTCTTCTTTCTTTCTTTCTTTATTTTAACTTTATTTCTATATTTTTTGAGTAGGCTAGATAAATAGATACATGTGGTGTGGACAAATGTTAAAACGTCGTTGTGGGGAAGTGTTACTTTTCTCAACGCTTGCTATTTGGAGCCAATCATAACTGACTAATGGTAAGAGCTGAGAGATATATAGGCCTATAGCTTAAGTTTTATATATAGGCTAGCCTACTGCAATTTTTTTTTACCATTATTTTAACAAAAACGGGATATACGCTTTCACCATATTTATTTCTATGGGGAAAGATGTATATTATTCCTGCTCATCCCGTAACGTGCCTGCACTCTGTTAACTCTTTGCACTCTTTAATCGACACAGTTAGTATCTGTGTTGTGTTGCTTGGGCCGAGGCGCTCCCCCGGTTGGCGGAATTACGTACAGCCACAGGATTGAGTTGAGCGCGGCCACGTCTGCTCACACGCTGTGCTTTCGCTTCCTTCATTGGCAGGATAAGCAGCACACTGCAAGCTACTATCACAGTATCACAAAAGAGCTGCTTTTGAAAAGACACAAATACACTTCAGTCTTAAATAGTGCCTATTAAACTTAGCAGATCCACAAGGACCGCCCGAACCTTGAATTTAACAGTATTGACAGAATGACGAGAAAAGGTTTGTGCTTTAACTGATCTACTTTTGTCAGTGTTGTGGATATAGTTTAGCTTGCTAACCACATAGCCAACTAGCCGACAAGAATCTGACTAGCTCAAACAAAAGACTTGATTCCTTTTGTCCCTAAAAAACTAGATTGTTTCATTAATATACTGGACTTTCAGTTAATGATATGTAGCCAATGAAAAATTAAACCGTAGAAGCTGACCACACAATTCTTTTCATATTTTGTGTTTGCATTATGGCTAAGTTAACCAGTTTCTTTTGCCATATTGACCAAGCCCAGAAAACAATCTGATTTAAACACAAGCACATAACTGAACAACACAAAAATTTAAATTGTTATGGGTAAAGTAAACATTTTAATTTCAGCGGCCTGAGTTAAATTGGTTGTCAACTCAATTTAGGAGCATTCATTCCGGATTTGAACTCACTGAACTTAAGTTATGTTGTAAATATCGTAATGATGTTTATCATAATGACAGTCTAGAGTTCAACCAATGTTATTCAGAAGTCATATAACTGTGAATGTTGCCATTATTTATGCCATTGTTTATTTTTTAATTTACAAATGTGATTTCAGTTACTGTCTGTCCTGATAATGTCATGAAGTACTGATCTTATTTTAATTAATTAGGGATTAATGAATGCTTATGAGAGGATTGAAATGGCAAAGTGTTTCATATGATAGATATGTATTTATATTCACAGGTTGGGATGAGGAGCCCTTGGATCATGCTGTAATGTCACAGTAAAACAAACTTGTTTCTTCAGTATTTACCTGATACATGTGTACAATGGCATCAAGAAATGAAATTCAAGATATTTACTCAAGTTTAGGTGAGTCGGAGGATGGTTTTTCTGTAAAGTTTTTTTGTGTGTTTAGTTAAAAGTGAAATATAGTCAGGTGGATTTGTCTGTTGGTTTACCAAAATACATCTAATGTGCCCTTGCCTTGACTATACCTTGTTAACCAGGGCAAGTTCAGACCTGCCTATCAGGCCTGTGCCAACAAGCCATTTAGTGACTACATTGGACTTAAGTGATTCTGATGTTTTTTGGCATCAAGCACAGCTATATTTAGAGTGATAGTTTCTCGTAAGCATTTTCATGGGTTTAAAACACATTTTTGTGATGATGTTCTGTCACACTGGTTTGTGATATTGCACACTTCCGGTGTTATAGGTTTCATAAAGCTTATATTCTTTTATTTCCGTCCTCCACTTTGATACCTAAAAGCGTTTTGATAGATTCTGTGCCCTGAGTTGGGGTTAGCAATGATTCTCATTTGACCACAAAATGGCTTGCTGATGGCAAAGTCAAAGATTTGATATTTTCAGGTCAGGAGGAGAGGCAGAAATTGCTGCCGTTTATTTTTCTTAAATGATGCCTTTGCTCTGTGTTTCCATAAAGGTTAAGTGGTGAAAGCTTTGGGACCGTCAGCGCTTCTTGTAGTGGGGAGTAAGCTGGCCATGTCAGGGGTCCCAACCCCTCCTCCTCCAGGGGAGATGTCCAGTGGGCCTGTGGCAGAGAGCTGGTGCTATACCCAGGTGAGATGGACTGACGGCTCAGGCAATCATGTACAGGCTTTGCTGAAGTATTTTAGAAGCTATTTATACAGATCTCGGCTGAGTGATTGTTTACATCATTGCAAAATGTAAACTGCATTATCACACAGCTCTATGCGTGTATATAAAGTTGGATATATGTTGCATACAGCTTCATCCACATAAATACAGTACACTCACATGAAGCGATTATATATGGTATAGCAAATGTTTCTATTGCATTGCAAAATGTTATCGCCCAACTCTTTATATAATGTAGGTAATGTAAGTATGTCCAACTTTATGCGTATTCACATAGGGTGATATGTACTATATAGAAAACCTTAATTGCTTGATTTCTTGTATAGTTGCAAAATGTAAACTATGTTATTGCCCAGCACTAATCTGCTAATACTATATAGGAATGGAGTAATATGAAGAATATTAAAATATTAAAAACATTATGATTTCTGTAAAGCTGCTTTAAAATAATTGTGAAAAGCGCTGTGCTAATAAATTTGACTTGGCTTGAAATTTGACCATTCTTTCAGTCTTAATATGGCTCTCTAATATGACAAGTATAGCTTGAGCAAATGCATATGTTTTGATCTCTTGCTTGTTATGGCGCTGTGCACAGTTTGATCTAATGGAGGGCAATCAGTGTATTAAAGTAGATCGGGTGACACTTTATTGTGCAAGTGATAATGAAACTCAAGCAGTCATCATAATGTGGTCATGCTGGTTTATCAGATACGGTAAAATGATACTGAGACAAATTTCCGACGGGTAAGACTTAACCTCAGGCAAATGCAATGCAAAGTTGAACAGGAGCCATTTAGTTGCTTACAAATGAATAAGATGTTAGTAAAAAGTCACATTTTGAAGTGGAAAGCTGCCTGTTCATTTGTTCTTGTGGCATTTGGCGTGTTGTTCTCTAGGATTGACTGCACATCGGTATGTTTGTTGACGGTTATCAGTTTTCACTGATGGTAATCTTTGATGATCTTGTAGGTCAAGGTAGTGAAATTTTCCTACATGTGGACCATAAACAACTTCAGCTTCTGTCGAGAAGAGATGGGTGAAGTATTGAAGAGCTCTACCTTCTCCTCAGGGCCTAATGATAAGATGAAATGGTGAGGAGCCTATGCATATGTTTGTGTGTGTTATAATGTTGTCATTCCCATAAAACATCTTTATCTCTTGGCATCTTTGCCCATCTTCAGGTGCCTACGGGTCAATCCGAAGGGACTCGATGATGAAAGTAAAGATTATCTATCACTATATTTGCTACTAGTTAGTTGTCCAAAAAGTGAAGTCAGAGCCAAGTTCAAGTTTTCTTTACTGAACGCTAAACGGGAGGAGACAAAAGCTATGGGTGAGAACTTTGCCTTTGCCTTTAATTAGAAAAACAAATGATTGGAGCCATGTTGTTTTTAGTCCTGCATAGATTTGTAATGTCAAGTGTCTTGAACTTAAGTCATTATTGGCTGATTGCTTTTGGTTTGGTTTGGACTTACTTACCGCTTACTTCTCTACCCAATGCAGAAAGCCAAAGAGCCTATAGGTTCGTCCAAGGCAAAGACTGGGGCTTCAAAAAATTTATTAGGAGAGATTTTCTGCTTGATGAAGCAAATGGGCTGCTACCAGATGATAAACTCACGTTATTTTGTGAGGCAAGTATGCATTCACTTCATGATCTGTCCGGTACCTCAAACTCAAACCTTCCATACATGAATGTATTGGTTTGGATCAGCCCCACCTGATTAATCATTTTAAAATGCATTATTTATCTTAAAGCGTTTTTAGGTGTTATGCAATAATAGATTGTTTTCTGTGAGGTCAAAAATGCGTGAAATTGGTCCAACTGTCCACTGTGTCATAGCAGTGTGAGTGTTTAAATATGAAATCAACAAAGAATTCATACAAATTCAAATATTACATTTCTAAGAACTTTACACTTGCTTTTTTAACTAAATATTTCTTTTTTTATCATCTCAGACATTCTTGTTTGTCTCATTTGCAGAACAAATCTTTTGACATTTGCTTAATCCAGAGTTACTTCTGGCTTTTAGTTACACTGACATGGTCATTGGGGTTATTTATTATAGATTTTTTTCCATAGAACATGGAAATGTGGAACATGCAAAATGTGTTTTTCTCTTCTGAAGTGGATTGCAGATTGAATTTCCTGCACGTAGCACGCTCTGATCCGTTTGTATGAATATGCTAGTAGCCGTTTGACAGCTCGCCCTTCTCTTCAGAACGTAGCAGGATAGAGACGTCACCTAGAGCGGCAAATGAAATGGGTTGTCAAATGAATTCACTGTAACACAATTATGAGTCTTGCTTGAAAAATAGCCGACATGCCTGTTGAGATCCGCTGCAGGGTTTAATATTTGCAGGGAAATTGGCAATATCACAAGGCAAAGTTGAAACTAAATGCAAATTGCAGATATGTTTTCCCTCATTAATTGGACAGTTTTTGTAGATGATTATTACCGGAAAAACTATTAAACAACTGCAGGATGCTTTCATCAGCTGAGTTTCTGATAGCTGCAAGTTGTTTTTCATTTTGCATGAAAGTTTTTTTTCCTCTTTCATTCACCTCCATTTTGCTCAACACTCTTGAATATTTTAGTAGCGGGCCAGATTGCTAGTACTCTAAATGAGTTTGTCAACATTGTATACAGAGAATGTATAAATAGGAGCACTTAGTCAATTAGTACTTACTTAATAAGATCTGCATTTTCACTGGCCAGTCTCCATTGCTGTTGCAGTCACATAAAGCAATAGTTTGCTCAAAATAATTATTTTAAGCAGTCTAGCATTTGAGGTCATGTTTTGTCATGGATGTCATCATTGCTTTCATTTGGTTGCAGTCAGATTTGCCATAACACACTTTTACACCGTTCAGAGAAGTAAATGAATCTTGCATATAGGACTGCACTGCATCATAATGGGGAAAAAAGTGGCATCACCTAGATAGATAGCTAGCTAGATAGATAGATAGGTAGGTAGGTACATAGATGGATAGACAGACAGACAGACACTGGTAAAGCATACTGTATATTTATTTAATGAATCAAACTAAGCCATATTGCAATATTGATTTGCAGCCCTAACTGCAAGGTAACATGCGTAATATATGCATTAAAAAACATGCTATAATACATAACAGAACAGTATGATGACTTTTCAGTGAATCACATTGCATAGCCAGACCAAGTGGTTTAATTGGACTTGTAATGTGTGTTAATTAGGTAAGTGTTGTCCAGGACTCTGTGAACATCTCCGGACAGTCCAACATGAACATGTTGAAGGTTCCGGAGTGCCAGCTGTCCGATGACCTGGGTAACTTGTGGGAATGCTCACGCTTCACGGACTGCACTCTATATGTGGGAGGGCAGGAGTTCAAAGCCCACAAATCCATCCTGGCAGGTGAGTCTAATCCAGACCTCCAACCCTGCTGACGACATCAGCTCCATGTCCTCCTCTCATCCCAGCGACGCTAGCTCAGCACCCACCCTTCTGAGGGGTTGTGTTTGTGTGTGGGGAGACAGTTTGTGTGACCTTGGTGGTAGTGTTTTTTTCTTTTGCTTTCTGAGGTCGTAATTCTTCAATATGACAGATCTAGATTCATCACTGAAAATCCACAGTGTGATCCACCGCTAATGTCCTCAAAGGACGACACATTCATGAATGTGACTTCTGCCTTTTTGTTTCTTTTTGCCTGTGTAGATTGACTTACAGTTCAGAAATAATCTAATGAAAACTGGACACTTGTGTTTTTTTTGTTTTTTTTACTGTGACCACATATCAAGAGACGCTCATATAATGTGACTGACAGATTTATTGCTTTCTTGACAGCGAGATCACCGGTCTTTAATGCCATGTTTGAACATGAAATGGAGGAAAGTAAAAAGGTATGCATTGGATGCTCTTTTTATATTGCGATATTGGTTTAGATACGTTTGCCGTTATGCAGCGTACAAGTTCATAAGCTGCTTTGTTTTCTTGCAGAACCGAGTTGACATCAGTGATGTTGAACCGGAGGTTTTCAAAGAAATGATGGGCTTCATATACACAGGAAAAGCACCAAATTTAGAGAAAATGGCTGATAGTTTATTAGCCGCAGCGGATAAAGTAAGTGAAGTTTTATTAAATCATGAAATAACGTTAAATACATTGACTTGAATTTTAAGCATCCGTTGATGTGGGTTTTTTTTTTAATAAGAGAAATGTTTGCCATCTGGGGATACACTACCATTCAAAGGTACAAAATTATTACTTTTATTCAGCAACGATGAATTAAATTAATCAAAAGTGACACAGTACTTACTTGTTTAAAAAAAAAAAGCCAAACTTTCTATTCATCAAAGAATCCTAAAAAAAATATACTGGAATAAAAACCGTTATTTTAAATTGTAATATTGGACAATGTTGCTAATTTTATAGCGTTTTTAATCAAATAAATGCAGACTTGGTGAGCATAAGATAATTCTTTAAAATACATTTGAACAAATCTTGCTGACCCCAAACTTTTGAAGGTAGTGTATATGTATTTTTTTAGAAGCCAAAGTGGTAATTATGTGATTTTACATTTTTTGTAAACCCAAAAGTGGAATTGTCATAATTTTCTCATTCTTATGTTGTTTTAAACCTGTATTGATTTTTTTTTTCTTCTTCGTGTGGAAAGACATTTTGTACTGGTCACTGAAGCCAAGTGATTCACTAAAGAATAATTTAGATGTCACTACTGCTTTCGTGAATGCACCAGGGTGAGCTAGATTTTCATTGAATAAAGACTTTTGAAAGATTTTGCTCTGTTTCTCTCAGAATATAGTCATATGGACTATTTCAGTAATGCTTTTATGGTGCGTTTTCCTTTTTGAAGATTAAAGCCTTCAGAAAATTGACCAATAAATGATTACTAATGTATTATTTTGTGTTGTATGGAGGAAAGAAAGTCATACAGGTTTGGAACAACATGAAGGTGAACAAATGCTGACAGAATTGTCATTTTTGGGTGAGCGAAAGCTTTAAATGGCATCACAAACCTTTGAATGTTGTATTGTATAAGTCATGCGTGTCGTTCTCTCAGTACGCTCTGGAGCGCTTAAAGGTCATGTGTGAGGAAGCCCTTTGCAACGGCCTCTCGGTGGAGAACGTGGCAGACACCCTCATCCTGGCCGACTTGCACAGCGCAGAGCAGCTCAAAGCACAGGCCATAGATTTTATCAACAGGCAAGCTGCGCCAAAGAAACTCTGCTTGATAAATTCCTGCTGCCATGGCTGTTTACCAGCCTGAGAATGAGAGTGTTTTTCTTCTATCTTATCCATAGGTGCAGTGTCCTCCGACAGCTGGGCTGTAAAGATGGGAAAAACTGGAATAGCAAGTATGTAATTAGCTGATATGTGTGACACAAGATTAATACTGAGCTCTTATCTACTCTCTTAGATGCATTAGAATTCATTGTTTTAGGTTCTGGGCAGCCTGAGCTGCTTGGCTGGTAGCCACAGCCCGCATATCTCCTGATACCGGTTATTAATAGACTCCGACTGTCTGAAACGTCAAGGAAGATAACATTCCTGCATTATAAACATATCACAAAGTCACTATTATAGATCCCTGGCGCCCTGCCGATCATACTCTTCAGAACGGCAATAACTCCTGCATTAGTGCATGCTTATTTGGAGGAAAATGGTCTTTTGTATAAATAGACATAGTTGCTTGAATCTCCCATATGCACCATTGAATCGAGCCTCTCTTACCTTATTTTTTTACTCCATTAGCCTGGATTAATCCACATTGCTGTTATCGATTTTTAATGTGTCTTGTGTTAATACTAAAACGTCTTCACCCTCTCCTGACAGTCACGCCACGGACATAATGGAGACCGCTGGCTGGAAGTCAATGATCCAGTCTCATCCTCACTTAGTGGCGGAGGCTTTCCGCGCGCTCGCGTCAGCACAGTGCCCCCACTTCGGTCTGCCCAGGAAGCGCCTAAAACAGTCGTGATGACGTTCCCGCTGCTCTCTTGAGCCTGTCCTGGGGCAAAAGCCAGAAAACTGCGGAGTTTAGACTCTATCCCATTGTCATCCAAACCGACAGCACGTGACTGGGACAGGCTGGCTTCTAAATGGCTGCGAAAGCTGTTCACACCCTTCCTGAGCGATGGGTTTGGCATCTGAGCTTTATTTTGTGAATCTTTCTGTCACTTCAAACAGCCTTAAACTATCTGCCATGACTCTTGTGTGAAGTATTTGAATTCTCTCAGTTCTACTCTGTGCCTGCCTTGTCCCATGAGACCAGGCCTCTTCCCTGTTGCACTAGTTCCCAAAGTCTCGCTGTTTTATATGGCACTTCCTAGGAATGCGTCAGGAGTTCGATCCATGGGAAATAGTATATATTCCTAATGTTCCTTTAAATATTAATTTAAATATTTACAACTAAATATTCCTTTAGTTGTGCGACTAGACATTAAATAAATGTTAACACAATGAGTGCAAGGTCATTTCTTTACACTTTGAAAAGATAGCTATGCCCCATATTGATGGCACGATTTCTATGTAAAGACACGGTTTAACCAAATTATTGTTTGTGTCCTGCCCCTTGACCTGTGAAAACATTCAAAGTGTCATGTATTCACAATTTTACAAACGACTACATTTTTAGACACAATAGTGTTGCTTCCCTTGAATTGGTCTGCCATATACAGACGAGTAGTTTGAAGTTGTCTGGCCCATAATGCATTTGTGTAACCTGATTGGACTAGACAATCCATCTTCAAACACATTGTCCTCTGTGATCAGGAAATGTTTGGATGCTGAGCATCAGAGTGTGGCATTACTGTGCATGTCATATGGATGGATTGATGAATGTGTGATTGGGAGTTACAGATAGATTGATTGTCCTCGGTCTATCAGAGTTTTGTTGTTTTGAGCTGTGGCGTTACAGTCGAACTGACAGTGATTTGGAAGAGGACTCTACATTGTGTCATGCTATACTGACTTTAAAAAAATATTGCCTGCATTAACTCATTAAAAAGTTTTTCAGCATTCAGTGGTGTTTTATGTATGGTTTATATAATATACTTCCATTCAAAAGTTTGGGGTCTGAATTTTTTTTAATTTAATTTTTTAGGGAGTCTGTTTTGCTCACGAAGACTACAATAAAAGCAGTAAAATCATTGATTACAAAATATTTTAATATATTTTGAAATGTAATTATTTCCTGCAATGATAAAGCTTAAATTTCAGCATCCAGTCTTCAGTGTCACATGATCCATCAGAAATCAATAATCAAAAAACATTTCATATTATTAATGTTAAATGAAGTTGCTTTTTCAGGATTATTTGAAAAGAAAGATCAAAAATACAGAATTTGACATCTTTTGTAGCATTGTCTTTACTATCATTTTTGATCAGTTTAATGCATCCTTGCTAATTAAAAGTATTAATTTCTTTTTCTTTTTAAATCTTAAATTTTGAATGGTATATACAGTATATTACATTTACATTACATATAATTTTTACTGAAGTAGTCTCTAAATTGGCAGTTTCCCACTAATTAACAGCCATCTGTACTGATTTTTTCCCTCTCTTTTTTGGCATATGTATAAATATCTTGTTATACTACTATTATATATGGCTTATTATATAAATAATATATATTTTTTCAGTAAGGGCAGTGTTTTACTTCATGATCTCATCCTGAGGAGTTTGTTATAGTTATTATGTTTAGCAAGAAGTGAAATGTCACCTGCAAAATGACTAATGTTTTGACATTTTGCTTTGGTTATTTGTGTTTAACACATTTCAAGAAGGTGAAAAGAGGTGATGAAATGGGCAAAAAGAACAATATAAGAACAACCGGCCATCAAGCTCAACTGCAAATTGCATTTTGCTAAACATAATAGTCATTTTGTGATTGATTAAACATCGCAGTGTTATTTTAAACACTAAACTTAGCATTAGCACAATTGTTGCTGGCACTGTAACTGCAACGTAAGTTGTGGTACCGCGACCATTGTGATCTCTGCAGCAGTTGCAACGTATTGCTCTCGCACCCTCCATGATGGGAAATCAGGGCTAATTAAAGCGAACAGCATGCAGTCCGTAATCCGAGCTATCAAACACACATCTTTTTCCCGTGCCAACATGCCGCTTCATGCCGACCGTTTTCTGCGGCTCCTAGGGAACTCTGTGATAACATCTCACTATTAGAAAACCTCTCTCCCACTCCTGTCTATCTGGAAGACAATTTTTAAGTGCACCACTGAGCTAATGAGACATTGCGAATTCATACAGTTGTTCTTTTTTCCATCATAGGGCAATTCAGTTTTGTCTTTTGTTCTTTTCTTTTGTTCTGCGTGAATCGGATGGTGGGAGGCCGTCTATGTTGAAAGCCAAAAACATGACAATCCATTCGGAAAGAAACAAAAGGTTCACATTTGAGGAAGAGTCCATCGTTTTCATATGCACATAAACTAATGTAACACGGGTCTATACATCAGAAAGCTTTTTATTGAATATGATCATGTATTAGAGCTTGATGAAATGCAACACATCACAGGATGTAATGTTTTTATCCAGAGGTAATGTGATTTTGCAGGATATTTTACTGACTGAAGAATCAGTGCTTTATGCGGTCATAAAAACGACGGCAGATATGCAGATGTTTCACTACAAATCTCACATATACTGTCTGGATATGCTTCATGTTTAAATCTGTGACAGACATACTGAATAAAAGCAATAAATTAACCCTCTATGGCAGCATAATTTTTCCTTCACTGAAAAAATTAACTATGACAGTGTTTGAAATAAAGGACATTTTAAAAAGAAACCAACAATATAGTCTTTTTAAGCCACGTGACATTTGATATTCTCACCCAGAGAGAGGCACATCGAAGTGCTCTATAAATTGCTTTATTGAAATAGAACAAACTTGTTTTTAGGGAAATATTTAAGTATAAATAATAAAGGTGTGCAACGATTTATAAAAGAAACACGAGTCTAATAATCAAAGAAAAAATTATCCACACTGTAAAGATTTTTTTTTACTTAAAAATAATTTATTTCTATGTGTTACTTGCAATGTCTTTGTGAAATTTACTAATAATTGTTGAGCAAAAATTGTTTCATAGCAAATCAGCGCGAATGCATACCATAGAGGGTTTAAAAAAAGCTGGAAGCTCAGGTATTTTCCTTGAGCATTTTTTTTTGTGTTTTACAGATATTGAAGACAAACATAAAGCATACAATTTGCTAAAAAAAAATAAAACTGACAAGCTAGATGGTTCAACTCTACATCTACTTGATATAACGGTCAAACACCAAAAGTAGGAAAATTGATCAATGCTGGATTGCTAGATTAAAGAAACAAATTCATCCTTTAAAGGCAAAATACACACGGTTTTAGAGTCACATTTATACACTATTCACAAAATTGCACGCAGGATTTTAAACTAAATACCAATTATAAACAGCTATCTTTGTATCGACATGTTCTTGATGTGAATGTTCATGTGGCAAGACAATTAGAGTATCAGTACAATTAATTATCCATCTGATTCTTCAATTTGAGCAGAACTGCGATCTAGATCAGTCACCCTTGATATGGGAAAATAATCTGTTTGGTACACGCACAAATGGAACCTGAGAATTCCAGTTCTGATTATCAGACTATGGCATTTCAGCTGGTTCATTGTGACACACTGACATTTAGACTATAATGTGCAAACAAAAATGATTCCTTCAAATGATCTCCATATACTGTTTTAAATTATGAAAGACTCAATACAAGGTAGACTCGCAAATTGTATTAATTTACCCTCATGTGCATTTGCATAAATGTCTGTATTTACTCCTGACACTTTTTCACTTTGACACGAAAGAGTTTGATTCCAGTCCAAAGTCACTGGCTTGAATAGAGGTTTGCTACATGACTGACATGCTAAATTTCAGTTTTTGGCTCCGGGCCCCTCTGTCATGGTTTGTAAGTGAAATTTCCCACTATAATTAATGTTAATTAGAGCCTGCAAATGTGGATCTCTGTGGCGAGACCATGACAAAGGGTTGTTAACCGGCTGCCAGATTCACTAAATCCACCTGTCCAATGAATTGTGCTCTCGTGAGACATGGCAAATTACTCTTTGAAATTATACACAAATCTCAATTCACACATAGATCTTTTGTGAAATGCGAAACAACTAAGAGTAATTTGTAAGTGATGTCTTTGCTGAATGATTTAACCCGTTCGCACTTATCTTGACAACTGCATAAATGCTTCAAACAATTTAGTGCTGAACAAGAGGCCACATTGCTCAATAAAACACGCACACACTAACGCACACACACAAACCTCACAATAAAAAGGTGTTTCACGTATAATCTATCCTCTGTAGGTCTGTGATTTATTAGCTTGACAAGTAGTGAAAGATGGTCTGTTTTCGGAAAACAAATTCCCAATGGAACTCGAACCGTGGGATGGATGTGAGACGTTTAAAGCCAAAAACAAAAGTGCCGATCAGTTATTTTGCCATCAAACGTCGTGACTGCCGTATCACAATAGGCGATGCCAGTAGTGTAGCCTAATGCGAAACATCTGGATTTATTTTAATTGCTTCTAAATCAGATGAAACACACGGTGAAAATGAGGTTGACCGTTCTCACTGTCTAGGATGGACTGTATCTTAACCCGTGGATGCGTACGGCGTGTCACTGTGATAGTTGTAATCGGGGCAGATTTTCTGCACCAGTTTATAGTCAGTGCTGTAGAAGGCGATGTAGATGCATATGACTTTGAAGGGCTTTGAGCAGAGCCAGGACACATGGCTCTGGGTGGATTCTTGGTAACACGTGTTGGACGGGTCATAGCTGCAGTGTGAAGTCTTTTTGCTGCGGTCTGTTTTCTGGTACTCGATACGACAGTTGAAAGATTTCGAGTCTTTCGTCTCCAGGGTGGACTGCTGGGCGATCTCAAACTCCACCACTTTGGAAGGCGGCACCAGGCTTACGGAGACGTTCCCCAGGCCCGTGGAGTTGTGGCGGAAATAAACGCTGAACGTGCCGTTGCCGTGGTCCACTATCTTGCCTGTAATGAGGAGATTGAGTTTCACAGTTTTGATGTTGGAGTTGAAGTCACCCCAGCCGAACATTTTTTTAAACTTGCCCGTTTTCACGATGGGTCTGCGTTTAGTCCTGCTCTGCGCCTCTCTGACATCTGTCTGGTTAGATAACCAGTCCCAAGAGTCCTCGATGTTTTCCAAATATGTAATCTCCCTCCTGTTGCTCTTGAACCCAGGGGATCCCCGGGCGAAAAGGCGCAGGGGGTTAAGAACGCGGGGGCTGGCGCTTTTGGGGGAGGGGTGGTCCTCGTTTTCAGCCTCCCCCCAGTCCACGAGCCCTACCTCTGGAATATGGACTCTTCTGCATGTGACGTTCCAACAACACTGCGAAAAGCACAAACGCACAAACATGAGAATCCACAATACTATATGCAACATTATATACAACATCTATAGCCTATACATATCTTTATTATACAATTGTAAAGTGCAACGGTGCATGCCCACTTTCCTTGGCCTTGGTTCCAGAATTATTTTGCCCATAAATTTTTCCCATTGAGATTTTTAAAAAATAATATTTTAAGAAGATTATAAGCCATGACCCAAATCAACCAGCTATGAGGTGAATGTTTATTGCAAAATATGTGTATTAGGCATTAAAATATTGATACTGACTCTATCATTCACTTGTTTCATGGGAGTGGGTAGGCTGCCATTATTTACTTGTCACAATTCCCTAATTAGTAGAAATGTATTTATAGAATTCCACTTCTAAACACAATTAAATAATGCAGACTGATGGCTTCAACAAATGCATATGCCATCAATTAACAACCCTGTAGCTCACAGTAGGTCTGTCTTTAAAGGCTTATAAGTTACGTACACGTCTTTATGAATTAATCAACTTATTTGTTCAAAACGCAGATTCCTTCAGGAACAATGTCTGACTGAATCTGGAAAAGCTATTTCTATTTTACAATTTCTGTCTTTATGAGTGAGTCAATGAAGCATTCATTCAACCGATTCATTCAGTAATAAATCAAGTGGCTGTCTATGAGAGTGAGTCACT